TTTGATATATTTATAAAAAAAATATCAAAACATAGTTGTGCTATTTTCGTCTATAATGCCATGTATCCATATTTGTATATCTGTATAACAACAATACTATTTTACGTATTTGTCATATGAGTGCTGCTAAGGGAAAACCTGTTATCGGACTTTCAATTATACTTTTTATTAAACACAATCTCCAACCAAGTAGACTGATTGTGTTCGATACAAATATAATTGAAAACCCGATGATTGGTTTTCCTTAGCGGCACTCATATATATATTTTTATCTACCTCAGCACATGTAGCTAAAGGCTTGATACTCCTTATCATGCCATCTAAAGCTTTGGGCGTGCCTGCGAGACATCTCCCATCTAATAAACACCATTTCATAACTTCTCTAATAGAAATATTACAATTCATATGATTCATAAGTCGTAAAAAATCAATAAATCAATCATTTCAGAGATCGATAAAAAGCTAAAATTATCCAGTACCCATCTTCCGAAGCACTAATTAATACATAATTATTCCCAACACATCCATCAGTCGGTCCTTCTGTAATGGTTAGGGCAGTAATGGCTGATTTATGGCCAATGCAAAGGACTTTATGTTGTAACTAAAGAAAAATGAATAAATTTAATTTAGAATTACATGAATTTGGTTTATCCGAGGTTTAGATCACTATTATTGAAAAACGCTATTATCGCATGCTCTTTTAAAGTTGGATAACTATGGTAAATAGTTTTCACCTGAAGTGAGCCTTGTTCGTCAACTATGCAACGATATATCCATATAAATCCATCCTTAAGACCTGTCGCAACATGACCTTCTTTATAGACAACTGTTGTAACTGGAGAAGAAGGTAATCGGTTCCATAAAACTAAGGGGACAACAAGTGACGACGAAGCCATAGGATAAAAAGAATGTAATAAAAACGAATATAGAAAGAAAATGTTTAAATTAATGTTAGTACATACGTTACGTACTAAAATCTTTTTGATCGCTGTATGCTTATGCATAACGAAGTATCCGACAATAAGGATCTAATCCGGATCAAGCCGAACAGGTCCCGGTCGTTGCCCCTGTAAATTTGATTCTTATGTAATACTGTAATAATTCTATATTTAGCCCGGACAGGTTATGGAATCAAAAAAAAATTATGTAAAAACAATATGAATTTTTATTACGTATATGTACCAAAAATGTCACGGATCGG